TATAATATATTATATATAATAATAATAATATATATATATATATATATATATATATATATATATAAAATATATATATATATATAAAATATATAGATATATATACTACAGCCCACGCACATGCACACATACACCTGCATACACTTGTATAGTATACCACTCACCTTCACTTGTTTGCATATTTCCCACCAGAAACTCATCCGGTCGGTCGATGTTGTCGTTGCTGAAGTAGTAGTGTACTTGATCGCACACCCGTGTGGTCATTTCATCCGGTGTGTCTGTACTCGGGGCAGTTTCGTGTGCTCCAGCTGTAACGGTATAGGCCGGGTATGCAGCGGAGATAAGAAGACTAATAGCGGGGGAAAGCAGACTATTATCGGAGAAAAGTAGACTTTTAGTGAAGATAAGCAGGCTATTGGCGGTGATAAGAGGATTATCAGCGGAGACAAGCAGACTATTAGCTGAGTTAAGCAGACTATTAGTGGAGATAAGCCGACTATAAGCTGAGTTAAGCAGACTATTAGTGGAGATAAGCCGACTATAAGCGGATTTACGCAGACTAGTAGCGGAGATAAACAGACTAGTTGCGGAGATGACCGACTATTAGTGGGGATAACCCGACTATTCGCGAAGATAAGCAGACTTTCCAAGGGGTTTCATGGTCCTGGGGATAGGAAACCTCCAATCCTTAACTCTCATTTAACCTTGTTTTGAAGATATGTTGCTTAGCACACAACGCGTTCGGACAGGTCTAAGGATCGGCACAATCATTGCTATGCATGCTCATACAGCCCACTGTCTCGGTTGTTCGCATGACGAGGTATTTCATAGACGTGGTGAGAGGGACGCTACAGCCCATTCTCTGAACAAGTATAGAGTGCGCATGTGTATTCTGCGGCGAGGACACAGAAAAGTTGAAGCAGATATGCACTTGTATATACATGCACATGTAAACACAGATTCACATAACAACCGCAGTGCAGTGATGAATACATCTACCAGCCACACAGGATCATATGTGCACATAGGGTTTAGGGTTAGAAGTACGGGGGCCATCTCGTATTACCCACACGCCACCGGAGTGCACTGTTTGGTACTGCCGGGGTGTGCAGATACAGTACAGGAGAACACACATACAACAAGGGCACACGCGTATCCAAACAGTACAGCAACAAACTAGGCATACACGTGAAAGGGGTAGGGGGGAAGATTTCGCAGATGGAGCTATACTAAACATATGTACATATATATATATATATATGTACATAATGTATATATATATACATACACACCTGTGGAGCGCAGGGCCTCTTGAACGCCTTGGATCAGCGCGTCCTTGTACCGCTTTGAAAGTCCATTCTCAAAGAACTTAAGTCGTGCCACTGGTGCGTCGAGGCCGGTTCGTATCCGTAAACTATGAGATGGCGAGTAAGGTGTCGTAATTGTTAATGCACAGATATTACAGGATGCATGCACACACAAATGGTACACACTAAATGTTATACTGGTTGCTGCAACATCGCCACAAACTAGAGTACATGGCCAACCCCATCGCCATGCGCGTGTGACATGCGTTTGTAGCTTCACGCAGAGCACTGACACGGCAACTCGGATTGCCTAAAAACCCTACAACTAGGACTTCCTAAAAACCTACAACTAGGACTTCCTGAAAACCCTAAAATTAGGACTTCCTACAACCCTAAAACTAGGACTTCCTAAAAACCCTAAAATCGGACTGCTAGTCTAGGAAAGACATTGATCCAGAGCTTAACACGCACACGCCCCCCTCACCCGGCCACAGTAAAACGCGGACGGTGCAGATGTTGATTTCTAAAACCCTAAACCCTAAAACAATAAAACCCTAAAACCCTAAAACGTTGCGCTATGGGGACTATACCCGCCTATAAACATGCTAAGCGTCTAATTGATGTGAGGGCTGTATGCATTTGTACAGAGTGGTCGAATTGATACAACCCAGGGACAACATCCTCGGTCAGTGGTCGGCACTACGCATAAGATACTCATGAAGCGATAGGAGGGGTCAAGCTGTAGCAAGGTATCACCATATACATGTTCAATAAATATCATAAACATGTTCAATTAACATCTTATACTTGTTCAATTAACACCACCATATACATGTTCAACTAACAAACCATCTGTGCAGTACAGTGCACAAGCTGTACGAGGACTGTTAATGGTTCGTAGACTTCCTCAGTACTTGGCAGCCATTATTTAGACTCACGAAGCGTTATGGTGTAACATACTGTAGCAAGGTATCACCACATGCATGTCCAACTAACGAACCATCTGTGAAGCAGTACAGTGCACAAGCTGTACGAGGAGTGTTAATGGTTCGTAGACTTCCACAGTACTTGCTTACCACTGGTTAGACCGCACGTTGAATTGGGTACACCAACAAGTCTCAACGCTACACACCTTTGCGTATCAGAGCCATTCGCAGCGGCCGTTGCAGGCACGACTATCGGAGCATCTCCCGAAGCATAGAATACATACATATCCTCCATCAGCAAGCAAACGTCTTCTAACTCAGTAGTGTCTATAGTACACGCAGTCTCGGCGGCTGGCGTTGTTGTGTATGTGGTGCGATAACTTTGATGAGGTTCAGAGCTGTGAGGATAGGGGTATGCATGTATATACGTGCGCATTCACTCGCGTTCTACTGGTGAGAGAGGCACACAACTCCGCTCACAACACTGTACGGAACTCTGACTAATATATCTGACCGTCAAAAATCAGTTTAACCCTAAACCCTAAACCTTAAAACATATGCTCGACACTCTGTGGCTGGTAAACCTGGCCGTCAAAAATAGGATAAACCCTAAACCCTAAAACCTAACATAAATCTCTAAACCCTAAAACACATACTTGACACCCTGGGGCTGGTATACCCGACCGACAAAGGCGATTGACTCGCAATATCACCTGTAGAAACACCGCCAAATCACACATCCTCCACGCAAGACCTAATCTTGTCTCCATATCCCATATCATTGTCTATCTCGCTCCAACGCTACGAACTATTCGTATCCCCAGACATACTATTGCACTCCACGTCGACCACCTGGATCTAGCCAAGAACTACTACAATACTACGCTCACAATGACTCAGTACACATACCACCGTACAGATACCTACTAGCAACACCACCAGACCCTACCTGGCTGTGAAAGTATCGAGCCCACTACGTCATTGACCACAGGCCGTGTTTGGGTTGACAGAGCGTTCTGGAAGTAATCACAGTGCACCACTGGCGCACCCAAGCCCGCCCTCTTGCCCTTCGCATACGGATCGCTGCGTGTGTGGGGATGGAGGTGAGGATGGATACAACTGGCACGTGGTGCACGAAATATGTGTCTAATAAACCGTTTTATACGTAGTCGTAAATTAAACTAGTTTAATTACGTATGTATCTTAAACCATTTTACACATATATGTATATTATACTATTATATACGTACGTATGTGTATACTAAAACATTTTTTACAGATGTGTATAATAAACCGTTTTATACGTATGTGTATACTAAATCATTTTTTACAGATATTTACCAATAACAATTTTATACATATGTGTATATTCAACCATCATATGCATATATGTATATTAAACCAAGGCTACAATAAGGTTGTTGCCCATGTCAGATATTAGACAGCAGTCACTCAAATGTTAGCGTTGTTAAAGCTCAAAGAGTCCACTCAAAGTTATTAAGCCGGAGAACATGACACACATAGAGATGGGGTGCTCACTATCAGATGGGTGCGACATTCGGACTATAAACCTCCAGATTATTGATGCAGCCAGGACATTGACATACACAAGATATATCATAAACGCCTGATAGAATATATACATAGTATATAGTATATATATATATATATATACTCTGNGANNCAGACACAACAGGGAGTAGGA